AGGGTGTCATCTTTAAGATCAACGATAGAAGAGAGAAGATAGACTCCACTTTTAAAGCCAAAGAATTTTTGAGACGTCAGCTGGGGACAGACGAAGAGTCCAAAGAAGAAGAAACGAAGTCTAGTGACTCTGCTACCTCTGGAATGGAAGAGACTCTGCGGCAGAAAAGGGTGCAGGACCAGCCAGAGTGGTATACGATTTCAGAGACAGAAAGCCGAAGTAAAGGCAGAAGGACTTGGAAAATGGCCTTTTGAAGCGAAGAATAAGAAGATGATCAGAGACTTCTCTCATAACAACTAACAAAATAATATATAAATAGCAAATTGTTATAAGCAAGAACTCTACAAGTATATTGTGATATTAACACTTATAGTACTAACATTTTTACTAACAGTGAAAAGATCCCCTCCTCTTGGGGTTTTAGTTTAGTGTGGTTTGCTTTCCTTTATCCTTAGTTGTAGTCCCTTTCCTAATATTTTTTTTGTAGTTTTTGTAGTATTTGCAAAATAAAAAAATATCCCTCTGGGGATTGAAAAAAAAAAAGAAACCTGGCAGACCAATCAATCCATGATTGCATACTAGCGATCAAGAGATGGGGTTCTTTACTAATTGGGCCATAGTATAAATAAGTCTGATTGTGCCTCATCTGGTTGAAGGATTTTACAAGTAAGGCAGAAATGTAAGTTAAAAATTTTCCACTACAGTGATGCTAGCTGTTCCATAGACTTGGCTAGTTTAAAGACAGGCAACTCCAGTTTCCTCTGACTTGAGTTTCCTAATGTAATTGGAGTTTCCTGGATGTCAGGGTATATGTGTATGTGTTTGCATATCCTGTACTGTACCAATACTTGCTCTTACATCTTGTCTACCTCAGAAGGTCACAAAGTGGGATGACCAGATTAACCCAGCTCCATTTGGAATATGATCCCTGTCTAATTCTGATGATGTTTCACTGAACTTCAGAGATTATTAGGAACAGAACCTCAGCAGTGAAAAATGGTCCTTCTGTCCTTTCCCATCCCATCACCTATCTTATATACACACGCGCACATTTTGCCCCCAGGTTCCACAGACACAACAGAGGGAATGGGAAGGAACGTAAAAGGCAAGATCTCCATAATTCTCATCAGAAACCCCATAGATTGGTCTCAGTTGATCATAAAAGTCCAATGGGGGGGATTCATGCTCATCCCTAGTCGCAAACATCTGTTTAAATAGGTTTTTAATCCCGACAGGCCCGGTGCAGACTAGAGTAAAAGCAGCAAGACAGCATTTAAAAATTGGGGGGGGGGGAAATCTTGAGAAATAACATAATAATAATGAAATTTAGATATAAATTAGGGAATGATTTTATAACCCCGTTTTCAACATTTGTGTGCCTATGTCTGCTGTGTTATATATAGTTCAACAACTATGTATGCTCTATAAATGTGGATAAGACTATGATGAATCCACTGAAGTAATTTTACCTTATCACCTTTGCTGCCTTTGTCACCCTTCTCTCCGTGAGCTCCCTGTAGAAAGCCATACCAGAGATTAAGACCATGCGTATGTTATAATATCGAAAGGATCACTTTAAAAAAAAGATCAGCAAAAAATTCTCATTCCTCCTACAAGTACCTGAAAGAGTCTTGATGTATCACATGAGAGGCTTTTGGAAATTTAAAATAAACAAAATGTTTTACTTAACTTGGAGGGGGAAAGCTCAGGTGCAATCAGGGGTAGGGTGTATGAGGTGAACTGAAAAACTGAGGTAACTTTGTAACCACACTAAATCCAGATAATCTGTCGCTCACAAGTAAGTGTTTCTGCTATCCAACAAGGTCTTTAAAACTTTGATGAAAGAGGCTTTCTTTTCAGTTTCTGCTTTAACACTCAAGCATAGGTTCCTGAGTTTCACTGACACATCAGGTTTAAAAGGCAGGAACATACAACCCAGTTCCCAGAATCCTTCTTCGTACACAGACCAGGGATCACTACTCTTTCAAGAGATATCTCCCTTTTCATTGGGCAGGAATTACTTCTCTTAACTAGAATCAATTTCCCTTTCGGCTTGAATGGGAATCCTTGCTGATCCACTCATTCCTTCTGCCACTTTCCCAGTCTATAGTCAGTGCTTAACTCTTTCTCTTCTTCAACTCTCAGTTCTCAACTGTCATTTCTTAACTGATGCTCTCCACAGAATTTGTTTGAACAGCCTGTCACTCAAAGGTTCTCAGACTCTGTGAGACATTAACCCTTGATAGCCTGTCACACCATCTCTCCAAATTGCTGACATTACAGAAGCATCTGCAGCAGTCTCTAATACAAGGCATTAAATGCAGGAACAGCTTATTTGCCTAGTTAACAAGAGAGCCTGTACCACTATGGGACTGTTCACACATGTCTGTTCATTACTAGATAACTCTCAGCTAAATGTGTGTTTCAACTGAATGCTGAAGTAACTCTGAATGCTATGAATGTTCTGTCTCTAATAACTGGTGACTGCTGATTCAGATTTGCAGGTCAGCAAATGACAGTGTATGTGGAACTGTCCCTAAGCAACTTGTCCAAGTTTGTCAACATTGTGTCTGTTTGACATTTACCTTGCTCCCACCCAGGAGCTTGGCCACAGTTCTTCCTAGAATTCTGACTGCCATTTTTATTCCACTTCCCTTTTGCATTCTAGAGTGTCCAAATTCTGTCATGGAAAGTATCTATGAAACAATACCTTGTGGACTGTTTTCTGCTAATGCTTTGAAAACAGTACATCCGTTATCAAAGGCTAAATGTTAAGCAATTTTGGTAATATAAGCATAACTGATATAATAGTAAAATTCTGAGGGAATAATCCAGGTGAGCTCAAGTACAACATCAATAGTCAGCAGAGTTGCATGAGGTTCAAAAGAACTCTGTTTTCTTTATTCCTTCCACCAGAGTAAAGGATGAACTTGCATACAGGCAGCACAAGGGGTCTTTGCAGGGGATGGGGGTAGGGTTGCCAAATGGGCCTGGGGGCGGGGAATCCCCCGCTTTGGAGGCCCGATTCCCCCCCCCGACGATCTGTGCCATGCCCCCAACGTGAGCACGTAGCACGTCACTTCCTGTGACATGCTGCCGGCGCACGCGCGCCCACCGCAAGCTCCCGGAGCCCAGCGAGGCTCCCCCACTCCAAGGGGTAAGTAAACTTGGCAACCCTAGATGGGGGGCTCATTTATGTTTCCCATATCTCCATATAGTGTATCCCCCAGCAAATCACTCATACTGCAAGTGTTGGGGGAACCTGCTTGGCACATGGAAACTGGTCTGGGAATATGTGATGCTCTGTGATGCTCTGTCTTCTTGATGCTTGGGGGGGTCAACAGTGGGAGGGCTTCTAATGTCCTGGCCCCACTGGTGGACCTCCTGATGGCCCTGGTATTTCTGGCCACTGTGTGACACAGAGTGTTGGACTGGATGGGCCTTTGCCCATCCAAGAACATTGGCGTCTCTTATGTTCTTATGTTCTTAATAGGTGTACTTATGCACATATTCTTGCAATGTCCATTGTGCTGCATGTGCACATACACTGTGAACTTGAATAGGCAGGAGAATGCAGAACACATGCTCACTGAAACTTCTACAAACTCGGACATTGTGCTTGATTGGATTGGCTTTTGACATATATGAAAAATTTAAGCATCACATCTTTTGTCCAAAGAACATAGATCAAAATGCTTTTCAGTAACAAAATAAAAACTTTTTCTTTGCATCACTGACCTTTTCTCCTCTACTTCCAGGGTGTCCCTAGAAAAAGGATACATATTTTAATGTTTGCTATTGGTGAAATCATCTTAACATCTGGACAAAAAAGCCATTGATTTTTAGTTGCATCAACAGTTTCATTTGTAGCTTTAGAAAGAAATTGCAAGTAAAAAAGGCACAAAGGTACAACAACATACCTCAGCCAAGAAATCAGTATGAAATAGAAATTTTAAAAGTCAGGTACATTAAGCATGCTGTAGCCAGGTTTGAAAATTGATTTAGGTTTCTTGTTGTTGTTTTTAAGCAGAAGGGAATATAACAACTAGTATGGAAATCTCTATCTATGAAAAAAAATATTCCTAAACATTTGTACTCTGCTTTCTTTACCTATCAAAGATAAGTCTCTCTAACGTTTGTTTCAGTTGGGCTTTCAATTAAATCCAGTTCCTACATATCAAACAATTCCTATGAACATTTAAGATTTTTTATTTATTTTTAAGAAAGTTACTTATAGGACTTATAAAAAACAGTGACTTAGAATGTATCTGCTCTGGATAACATCCTAATGGTGCTTCAACTGGGATTCTTTAATCCCCTTTAGCTACAAAAAATAATAATGAATCTATCTATTTCTTCTGTGTTCTTATTAGCAGAACGTAGAGGGACCTCACCTTAACCTGCCATTTGAAATTTTGCACAAAGCTTTCCATTCTTTTTTCTAATACAAATTTGTCAAGAAGGCAGTTTAGAGTATCAGTGTTCTGTACTGCCACCTGAAAAGTGTGCTAATATGCATGAAAGGATTAAGTCTACACAGAGGGTGGTAACCTAGCAGAATAGCAATGTAAAGTCAACTTAACAGCCTAATATGTAAAGGGAAAGATTTTGCTCACAGAGAAAATACTCTAACAGTGCAATCCTCAGCAGAGTTATACCTCTTTAAGTCTATTTAATTCTGTTTGCTTAGAAGGCCTGGGAGAGAAAGTTCTGTGAGACTCATGAATGCTGTTAGCGACCATTAAGGGAAAGCCAATACTGGGAAAGATGGGAACCAGTTCTCTCTTGGTATAAAGTAATTCTTTATAACTGTCAGTTGGCCAATGAGAAAGAGACAAAAAAGCAGTCTACATATGAGGCAGAATGAGGCAGCAGAATCTTCAGGTGACCAAATGGGCTATAAAGCTTCAATCTGCAGATGAGAATAGTCACATTTGCAATGTTCCACCTTAGAAAAACTCCCTACAAATTAAAAGAAACAGGGAGAAACGTTCTAGGCTAAACCATCACATGCTATGTTGATTTTTCACTTACAAGGGAGTATTAATATGTTTAAAAAGAAATACCAACACCAAAAGAACAAAGAGATGTCTTCTATCCCATCACAGCAAGGTTACACGGTGTCCATTATGTGGGGCTACCAGTTGTATAGCATCAAGGCAGCCCTTTTCTTTCCCTTCCAGTCCACAAGTAAAGAATATAGACAAGGCCAGAAGTATGAGGGGGGGAGCGAAAAGACCCTCAGCTCATGGTCTTTCTCCTGTTTATTGTTGCCCTTCTTTATCTGAATGGTATTTACTCAAATCATACTTAGGTCTGTTTGTAAGCTGGTTTGACTCCCCATTGGAGGAGAAAAGCGGGAGAATAACAGTGCAATCCCTGAACTATATTTGAGTCCAGTGGCACCTTTAAAACCAACGAAATGTAATTCAAGGTATAAGCTTTCACATGCAAGCACACTTCTTCAGCAATCCCAAACAGAGCTACACTCTTCTAAACCCACTGACACCAGTGGATTTAGAAGGATGTAACTTTTCTTAGACTTGATTAGAATTCACCCAATTTAGAGAGCAATCCTAAGGAGGTCTGCTCAGAAGGAAATCCCATTTTATTTAATAAGGCTTACACCCATCATGCGTTCTTAGGATTAAAACCTCCATTCTTCCATACTAGACTGAAAGAAGAGATCTGAAGAACAAATCCAAAAAGAACTAACAGATTGGTAAGCCCTTTCCGTGGTGGGGGGGGGGGGGGGGGGGAGTCTGTCAGCTGTTCCCTGCCTCTGCTGTTCAAAACAAGACAAGAATATCCACAAGCACTTTCTAACCGAGAAAGCAGCTGTAAGCAGTTAGGAGAAGCCAGTGTGGAGCAACATAGCAGCTGGGTCAACCAACCTTGGAGCCCATTGGTCCTCTTGTACCTGGCAAGCCCATCAAACCTAAATCTCCCTTTTCACCCTAAAGGGGTCAATAAAGAGTGTTATTCATTACACCTGTGGCAAGGTGTCAGTAACTGACTCTCTGGTTCTGCACCAGAGTGGTCAAACATGCAACACTGCTACAATTCTGGACACAGCGATAAGAGTGGGAATGTAAGAGACATGCAAGTAACTGAGCCTAAATTGTGACGGTCATCTTTTGACATTATCTCTTTCTAGGCAACAAATGGTCTTTACCAGCAAAAAGGGATATGCTGCCAACCAGTGTTCCCTCTAAGCTGAGTTAGTGTGAGCTAGCTCACAGTTTTTTAGCCTCCAGCTCACAGATTTTTGTCTTAGCTCAGGAGGGATGACTGCAGAGCAAACTAATTTATGCAGTAGCCAGATCACTCACTCACAACTTCAATGCCAGTAGCTCACAAGGTAGAATTTTTGCTCACAAGACTTCACAGTTTAGAGGGAACATTGCTGCCAACTATGTACAGTTGGACTGGCTCAAGCTCTGTGGCAAAATTTATTTTGTTCCCCTGCTCTGAATCCTGTTGTAAGCAGATAAAGGTGAGTTTTGTTGTTGAGGGGTTCTTTCCCCCCTCTTCACCATAGGAAATAGTGCAAGGGGAAGTGGTTGCTGGGGGAGGGGGGGCATAGGGAATTGGACACACTGACCACTGACACAGGCTGTACTGTTCTGAGGCTTATGGGTATGTTACAGTCCTTGAGGTGTTTCCAGAATAACTAGTTGCCTCTTTCATACTTATGACCCAAGTCAATGGCCTGTATTTATGGCTGTCAACTCTGAGCTGGGAAATTCCTGGAGATTTTGGGGTGGAGCCGGAGAAGGGCAAGATTTGGGCAGGGGAGGAGCCATTTATACAAATGCATGCAAAGCAGACCATCATTGAGATGATTCAACCAAGTACCCTGCTACGCTAAACAGAAGCACTATGGTTCTGGATCAAATTAATATTTTTGCAGCTTACTTTAGAGTACAGGTGATGGGGAATCACCACACTCTTAGTGAACATGAGATATTTGTGTACAGCACCCTAAATGCTAGGGTTACCAGCTCTGGGTTGGGAAATATCTGGAGATTTTCAGGGGTGGAGCCTAGAGAGGGCAGGGTTTGTGGCAGGGAGGGACCTCAGCAGGGTTGTAATGGCACATAGAGTTAGGGTTGCCAGGTCTGGGTGGGAAAATACCTGGAGACTTTGGGGGTGGATCCAGGAGAGGGCGGGGCTTGGTGAAGGGAGGGGCCTCAGCATGGTACAATGCCATAGAGTCCACCCTTCAAAGCAGCCATTTTCTCCAGGGGAGCTGATCTCTGTCAGCTGGAGATCAGTTGTAAAAGCTAGCAAAGGGAAACTTACTTATTGGGCTATCTGGCTGTCTGGCCCTGCTCCACAGTGTCCCCTGCTCCCCCCTTGCAGTGATCTACCGCTGCAATCCACTTTAAATTGTCAGTTTGGGCTAGTGATCTGGCCAGTGTCACCAATGTCTTAATTTATTTTGAGCTATATTGGTAGTTGACTGAGACACTGGGCCACTAAGAAATGTTTCCTGACAGCCATTTCCATCCTGAAGGGGCAGAAAGCTCTCTCACTAGACACGTTGCCTGCTGCACTGATTAACATTTGATAAATGGAAACACCAGCATCTCTATAAAAGCACAGCAGCAGTGCCTTTGCAGGGAGGAGAGAATGAACTCCCTGCTGAAAAGACTCTTTTCAGGCCTAGCTGGCAAGCTAGTGGGTGGGATCTTCATGCTGGCTTAAAACCAAGGGGAGAAAGTTAACAGGAATGAGCAAACTCTGAGGTAGACAATGAGAAAAGACAGGAGCCTGAAAAATTGACAGCAAGAGAGAGAAAGAAGGGGAATGTGCATGGGAACTGATGGGATCAAATCTGCCTGGGTCTGGAATAATATTTAAAAGGGAAAGAAGGATGTGGATTTCAGGGCCTAGCCACTATCGAAGCAATTGGGGGGGGGCAATCAGAGGAGACTATCCATCCTGAGCAGGTTTTGTACCTGGCATCACCATGCACTCTGTAGCCTGAATGTCATTATGTCTTTATACCTGTCACCACGAAGATATTGGGTTGGGTGCCATGGAGGATTTCCATAGGAGGAAGAGATGTCTACTCACAGACCATGACTTCCTGGCCTCCCTTCCTGCTGCAGCCCTAAATGCCCCTCCAAATGACATTCCTGGAGGACACCCTCACCAACAACATGAGGGGGTCTGTCACGCCACAGGGGAATTTGTGAAAATTATCCACTCCCCCCACACACACAATCTGTAGAAATTCTCTGTGGGATCCAACCGGTCTTTTTCAACATTTAGTAAAATCTGACAGGGTTGAATTCAGTGTGTGATGAATGGGTGTGTGATGAATGGGTGTTGCCGACCCACGGCATTAGAGTTGCCGACTGATCTCCAGCCAGGTGACAGAGATCACTTCACTTGGGAGAAAATGGCCGCTTTGGAAGGTGGGCTCTATTGCATTATATCCCGTTGAAGTCCCTCCCCTCCCCAAACCCCGCCCTCCTCAGGCTCCACTCACAAAATCTGAAGATATTTCCCAACCTGGAGTTGGCAACCCTGATTGTTTTCCATGACTGCCGCAGGCTATGACAGCCAAGTGAAAGGAATACACTGTAAAAGAAAGAGGAGCTGACAGATACGCTGTCTTGAGATGCTTTTAAAACTCAAATGAGTCATTGATTGGTACCTGACAGATTAATGAAGAGTGAGAGCTGGCAGCCAAAAGCTATTGCTACCCAGAAACACAGCATCCTTTTCACCTCCAAACGGAGGCATTACCAGTGTGCATGCAATCCTACACAGAGCTGCATATCCTTCTCAGTCCATTGCACTCAGTGGTCCTAGAAGTCTGGATTTGTGCTGGATATTTTGTTTTAATGTCATTATAAGGATGATGATGAAGAACACTTTTTCCTAAGAGCTACATGGGGAGGGCAGTAAGAAAGGATGGTACAGAAGAAGGCGGCAGGATAAAGCCATGCATGAAGAACGTATCCCACTCTGATGCCACCGTGCCATTCTCCAACCATCTTTCCACTGCATACTCTGGAGCAGATATGAAGTACTACTCTCCACATTTTAAAAAAAAGTATGTTTCAGGGCTATTAAAGAAATATAACTATTGTCAGGATCTAGATCTAGTAATCCTATGCATGCATCTAATCTTAGGTAACCTCTGTCTCTTCATGTATTATTTATCTGTTTATTCCATCTGCATTGTACAAGGCAATGGAAATCTGAATGAAACATGATAGATCCTAAACATTTAAAATTCGTTGCCAGCTAATTTTACCAAAAGCAGGCTGTTTTTGACCAGATTGATTTAACATAAAGCAAATCAAGAAACTTTTTACCCATATTGAGAAAAACTCTGTGCTTTAATCTTACCCGAGGTCCTGTTGGCCCAGGCCATCCAATAAGTCCTGGCATTCCAGGGACACCTGGAGGTCCTGGTCTGCCCTTCAAAGAAAAGAAAAGAAAAGGGAGGGGAAGAAAGAGAGAGAGAGAGAGAGAGAAAGAAAGAGAGAGAGAGAAAGAAAGAGAGAGAGAAAGAGAAAGAAAGAAAGAAACAGAAAGAGAGAGACAGAAAGACAGAAAGACAGAAAGACAGAAAGACAGAAAGACAGAAAGACAGAAAGACAGACAGACAGACAGACAGACAGAAAGAAAGAAAGAAAGAAAGAAAGAAAGAAAGAAAGAATCAGATATAATGATACTGAATTTCATGACTGGGGGCAGAAAAGTGAGTGTAACAAAATTTTTCAAGCTATATCAACCTACCAGACATAACCTTGGAAGTTCTTCCAGGTCATTGTATCTTATGGGCAGTGGTCTATGGGGGCACGTTCCTTGCAAGCAGTTCATATACAGTGCTGCATTCTTGTGTGGCATTTTGGACCACTTCAGGGTTTTGAAGGAAAAGTGGTCATATAATTCTTTTCACAATGAGAATCCCTGGTTATATCCTGCAGAGTATTTCTTTGGCTTCTGTATTGGAGTAATTAGATAAATGGAAGTATTCTATTAGTGAGATTAAATAGTTGCCATGGCATAAGGGAGACAATGTTTTGAAAATATATATTATGCAAAGTGCCAGATTTTAATGAGCATACTTTGGCAAATCCAAAGTATTCAAAGGTAATAATAATTCTTTCTCTCTTGTGACAGGGTAAAATATTTGAACTGTCCAGTTCAGCCATGTATTCACTAGCTTTAGGCAAGTTAATGTTTGGGGTCTCAAATGGATTTTGCAAGGAGAAGGATGGAGGATGGTTGCTGATATCCTCCCTCTCACTGCAGACCTCCAGTTCCACCCTCATGTTGTTCCTTGGTGTGTCCTGTCTCACAAGAGCAGCATTTGGGGGGACATTTCAGGCACTCGGTGAGAGGAGGTCTATCAAGGTCAGCGTTGCCTACTCAGACTGGCAGCAGCTCTCCAGGATGTTAGGTATAGGTTTTTGACATCACTTACTACCTACCATCTTACCTACCACGCACACCCTACCGTCTTAACTGTAGATGCCAGTGATTGAACCTGGCACCTTTTGCATGCCAAACAGATGCTCTACCACTAAGCCACAACCCTTCCTTGAATTTAAGAATGTCTTAAACGATGGGTTCCTTATAATGGATGCCTTTGGAGAGAAGTAGAATATATTTATGAAGTGTTGGAAGAGCTGTGGTAAAAATATTCCTTCTGGAACATGCATTTGCAGTTCTATGACACAAGATTCCTTTTTTGTTTAATGTTTGATAATTATGTCCAAAGTGAATTTTCCACAGGCAAACCCATCGGGTACATTCTCTACCCTGTCTGGGAGAGGGGCTATAGCAGTAATAGAGCACACACTTTGCATACAGATAATTCCATGTTCCTTTTCTGGTATCCAAGGCAGCAGCGATGGGAATGAGTTCTGCCCAAGACCCAGGAGAACTGCCACCTGTCTGATTAGATGATACTGAGCATGATGGGTCAGTTGACTCAGCAAAAGGTATCGTATATGTTTAGGTGTGCTTTGGGGTATATAATCAGTGAACCCTCCTGTACACCAGCAGAAGACATACTTCAACAGCCTGAACCGCCACAGATCTGGACAGACCACAACAATAACAGTGCAATCCCAAACACGGTTACATTCTTTTAAACACATTGCCTTCAACAGGATTAAAGAGGTGTAACTGCTCAAGATTGCACTGATAACCACGATTGTATATAAAAACCCTCATGTCTATTCATGTGGGTAGCTGTGTTGGTCTGAAGCACAGAACAAAGTCTGAGTCCAGTGGCACCTTTAAGACCAACAAAGTTTTATTCTGGGTCTAAGCTTTCATGTGCATGCACACTTCAGATCTGAAGAAGTGTGCATGCACACAAAACCTTATACCCAGAATTAAACTTCATTGGTCTTAAAGGTGCCACTGGACTCCGACTTTGTTGATATATGAGAGTCGCACAATCATTCCTACTCAAAAGTGTCCTACAAGTAGAATTTTGTAATGTGCAGAGTTCCTAGTGCTGATGAAGTTGCCTGCCAGTGATCCAAGTGTCATATCATTCATAATTACGTCATAGTGCCAGGTTCACATTAACTGCAGTGGAATGCTACACAAAATAAAAGATACAGACTAATGAAAATCTGCATTCCCAAGTTCTATACTAAACTAGGTAGCAAATGATTTTTATCTAGTTTTGGGAGTTATTCCAGACAACAGTTACTTGTATCACATGCTCTCATGAGTTTTAGGTGATTTGTCTCTTACCTTTCTTCCTGGCCTGCCAATTTCCCCCTGTCGGAGGAAAAAATATATCAGACACACGAAATCTCTTGTAATTTAGGGTGTTCATTTTGGTCAATGTTGACAGAATAAATTCTTCAGTGATTGTGTCTTCTGCACAGTGGTGCAATTTGAATCATAGCACTGCATCTCTAGTACAGTTGGGCTGGATGTGAGGGTGATCAGGCTGTGGTATCTGTCACCACCACACTGATCACCAGGGTTGATTTGGCTGATCCAGCTGGCTAGGTTGGCATCCCTCCCAAAGGTGCACACTTGATTGAAGAGGATGACCATCCCTGACAGAAGGAGTGTACTGTTGCTTGGCATGGCTTCCATGTGCATCCCTCCCAAAGCTGCACATTTGATTGAAGAGGATGACCATCCCTGATAGGAGGAGTGTACTGTTGCTTGGTATAGTTCAGCTTACCGGGGCTGCTGGTGCAGACCTAGCTGGACAGTTTTTATAGCTCACAAATAATCTGTGTCTGTGAAATGATCAGTATTTTTCCTTCGTATTAACCCGACTTCCCTGACCTGGATAGCCCAGGCTAGCCCAATCTCATCTGATCTCAGAAGCTAAGCAGGGCTGGCCCTGGTTAGTACTTGGATAGGAGTCCATCAAGGAGGTCCAGGGTCACAACGTAAAGGCAGGGAATGGCAAATCACCTCTGAATGTCTCTTGCCTTGAAAACCCTACAGGGTTGCCCTAAGTCAGCTGTGACTTGACAGCCCCCCCCCCCAAATCAACAACTAGAGTACACATTTATTTATTTGATACATTTATGCACCACTTTCCCACCATTGAATTCAAGATGTTTGCAAAACCAATGTTATCAGTCCTGCCACTTACTTTGTCCCCTTTTGGTCCCTTCACACCAGGAATACCTTGAGGACCCTAAAAAAGAAACATAATACGTTGCATGACCTACGCCCATTATTCTGCTTACCCCAGCACATTTAATTAGTAAACTGAGCCATCAATTAATCAGAAGATTTCATTGTTCTTTCAAAACCTTTTTCCATTTTACACTTCAGTTTCTTGGATCTGGATTGCACATGCAACTCAGTTATTGAGTGTTCAGAGCTGTCTCCTGTCCTGGTCTGATTTCATTTTCAGTTGCAAGCACTTCAGGACCAGTAGAAAAGAGATTAAGAGCCCCAGTAGCAGGTGAAAAACCATGGAGTGATATACTGGAAACATCAAGCATAGCGATCACAGAGCAAAAGTAATTCGATATTTAGAAAGCAGATGAAACTCTGGGGAAAGAAGAATCGGAACAGTTCTACCTGGGATTTTCTACATACAAAGTATGTGCTGTCCACTGAAACAGCATCCATTTGCTATTGTAACATCACTGCAGTGGCACATGTCATTTGAAGTTTTTCTCTGAAGAAAAAAAGACTTCTGAAACCCTTCGACTTGAGACTTCCTTACATACTCAAATGAAATCATAAGTGCCTGTTAGCACTGAACAAAGTGAAGATCAGACTTCAGGTGAAGATGAAATCAACATTCACATTGATTCTAAAGATGGTATCAATGTGAATGTTGATTTCATCTTTAAAAGAACTTAAATCCAAAATTCTGGAAATAGCGGAACTGGACAAATTGAGTATAGCCTTGAACAACAAACCAGAGGACCATTTTTGGGACAGATGGAAAATTATTTATACCTGGCTGAACGTGAAGTAGATAGAACAGAACTGAGAAAATGCTAGTAAAAAATATTAGATGAGGAAAATAAGAAAGAGGAACTCTTTTTTTCAAGAAATGTATTAATACGAAACAGTTTTATGTATATACTTTGTGAAATGAAAATATGAAAATAAAATTCAAAAAAAAAGCATAGCAATCAAGGAGCAAAAGTAATTCAATATTTAAAAAGCCGATGAAACCTCTGGGAAAAGAAGAATTGGAAAGTTCTACACTTTTAGAGTTGTAATACAGTTGTGGTAAAGAGTACTTGAGATTATATTATTTCAGAGACTGGTTGAGTGCTCACCTGGATTTTTTAAAAACCTCCCTGTATAGAGAACACTATCATGGCAAGAACAATGCAAAGTGAGAGCAGTGCTCCAACAAATACAAGGGAGCAATTTTGATGAGGGAAGCATTCAGATTTGTTCCTCCTACTTGCTGCACAGTCAAAGGAACTCTGAAAAACAAAAAATAACATTCACACTGATTCTGTAAAGATAACATTAACAGACTTGGCTATTGGTCTGATCAAAGCTAGGGTTGCCAGCTCCATGTTGGGAAATACACGGAGATTTGGGGGATGGACCCTTAAGAGGGCAGGGTTCGGGGAGTGGAGTCTTCAGCGGGGTATGATGCCATAGAGTCCACCTTCCAAACCATCCATTTTCTCCAGGTGATCTCTGTTGCTTGGAGATCAGCCGTAATCCCACGAAGATCTCCAGCCACCACCTGGAGGATGGAGAGGGAGTGGAATTCCGTGACAAAATTGTAGAATTGTTTACTGTAGTAATTTCTGTAGAAAATTGCTGTTGTTGTTGTTCAGTCGCACAGTCGAGTCCGACTCTTTCTCGGTCCATTGCTGACCAATGAGAGCTGCCAGGGGCCCCACTCCCAATTGCAGCTTCTGCCAATAAGGGAAAGAATTTCCTTCCCTCCTCCCACCTCCCTCCCCGGCTTTGCTAATGAGGGAAGGAGTCTCCCTTCCCCCTCCTCTCCCCAGCTTTCCCTTTGCAGTTTGCTTGGTGCAGGAAGCTCCTGCAGGCTTTGAAGCAGGCGGCCCAGTCCTTTTCACATGCTAGCCTGCTAGCTTGTGCCAGGCAACCACTGATTCCCCTCAGCAGCAGCACATAAGGTAGAATCTTTTGGGGGCTTTTTTGCTGGGGGGTGTTCAAAGGTGGTTGGGAAAAGAGAGGGTGGGAAAGTGGCTGGAAACAGCCTTTGCTAATGAGGGAAGGAGTCTCCCTCTCCCTCCTCCCTCCACAGCTTTCCATTTGAAGTTTTGCCTGGTTCACAAAGCAGTTGCTCCTGCAGGCTCGGAAGCACACACCCAGTCCTTTTCATGCCTTAGCTCATCTGCTTGTGCCAACCATCTGGTCTCTTCATAAGAAGTACATAAAGTAGGAGGGGGTTTTAGCTTTATTTTTGCCGGGGGGGATGTTCAAAGGTGGTTAGAAGGCGGCAGCAGCAGCAGCGCCTGCATTCTGCCTTTCACAAGATCAGTTGTAATTCTGGGAAATCTCCAGGCCCTACCTGGAGGCTGGTAACTGTTGAATTCCAGCCTGAGTGCCTGTAGCTATCCTTGAACCCTCCTATAGAAAATTACATGGAGCAGAACCAGAGAAGGGTGTTGGGCTTTTTTTGGGGGGGGGATGCAATGAGTTCAGTGGAAGATGGTGTGAATCAGAGGGGCCATCCATCCAAGAAAATACACACAGAAGAGCAAAGCCTATTTCCTGCACAGAGGAAGAAACAAACACTTTTATAGTTTGGCTAAAACACATTGGCTTTCTTGTCCATGGGGTCGCGAAGAGTCAGACTCGACTGTGCGACTGAACAACAACAACAAAACACATTGGGGGGGGGGATTCCCATTTGGCACACTGCAGTCCAGGAAAGTGGAAACTGCTATTTTCCAGAGTATACAAATTGAAATGGAAAGGGGAGTGGTTGAAGAAGAAATGGTAGAGCCGGAGGAGAGGAGCCAATTGAAACGGGTATGACTAGAGGAGAAGGGGACTGTACCAAAGGGAAAAGGGGGCCTCATTACAGTTTTTTGTCCTGGGCCCATAAAAACCTGTAACTAGGGATGGGCATGAACCGAACCATTAAGAACATTTGTCACAAATTTTGCCCTGTTCGTGGTTCGCAAACCAAAATTTATGATGGGTCTACCATCACGAACTTCCACAAACTTTTAAAGCAGTTTGTGGTGGTTCATGGATAGAACAGAAAGCAGGGGTTTAAATGGACTCTGAGTTTTAAAAGAGTGCACAAGAAAGCCTGAAAAACAGCTGAGCAGCAGGGAGCATCTGTTCCCTACCACTTAGCTGTTTCAGGTTGTCTTCTGCACTCACTTCCTTTAAACTTTAAAGAGACAGCACAAGGCAATCCTAAAAGCAGCTGAGCTCCCCCTCACTCAGCTGCTTCTTGGGCTTTCTGTAAACTCTGTTTAAAGTGACTGCAGTCTTTTTCAGTGGGGTCACAAACCATGGTTTGGTTCGCGAACAAACCTCCCAATTTGGATTGTGGTTCAACACAAACCAGATTGCCCTTTATTCAAATATTCTAACATGGATTGTTTCATTGTATTCATGCCATGATCACACAAACTAGAAAAACCTAACATTACACTGTAACTTACTCTTTTCATTTCCATGTATATATTAAATTCCATGTATATTAAATTAAAGGATGCCTTTGCTTGAAGTAGTGAAAAAATGAACCTTTACTGAAACACTTTCCAACAATTTATAATTAAAAATTCCAAGTACGTTCCAGCTTTACTTCATGTAACTCTGATATAATCATCCAACTAATTAGTTTAAATCATCCTGGGAGAAATTCTGGCCACATTATTAATATTTGTTGTTGTGTGGGGCTTTCATGCCCATCGTGATTAATATAACAAAGAGTCTTGCAGCATCTTAAATACTTACAAATTTATTGTCACATAAAGCTTTCTGGCTGAGGAAAGCTTATCTCACAAAGAATTTATTAGTCTTTAAAATGTCACAAGACTCTGTTATTTTAGCTGCAGCAGATTAACACAATTTATCACCCCCACCCTACCAAATTTTATCACAATTAACATAATTGCTTTTGTTTAATCAAAAAAGAAAATAAATGACTAGAACAAAGCATTGCCAGTTTTCTACAGGCCCCCTGACTTCCATAGTCCAACCCAGTGCCCTGTTAGAGAATGCTGGTCTACGCATTTTTTTAAACCTTGTTTCATTTCCTTAGCAATTAACACCACCACAGAACTTGCCTGGGTATATAAAACATACTCTCATGAAGACAACGGTGGTTTCAGCAAAGCACCAGTCAAGACAAGCAGCTTTGATTGTGCCATCCTGAATTCTGTAGTATATGCAGATTTTCTGTATCCCACACATGTGATGGAATCCATGATGCATCATTTACAGTGTTCAGCATTTTAATTAAGTCAAAGATATATCCAGAAATTTATACCGGTGACACTGACCTTGATGAGATCAGCCAAATATGTGAACAAAATTATCAGGGATGTCCAGCTTGCCTCAACTAGGGCCAGGGCCTTTTCAACCCTGGCCCCCACCTGGTGGAATGAGCTCCCATATGAGATCGGAGCCCTGCGGGATCTATTACGATTCCGCAGGCCCTGCAAGACGGAGCTCTTCCACCAGGCTTTTGCTTGAGGTGGCGGACACCCCCCCCCCCGCCCCCCGTGGCCTGGACCTGAATAGTCATACGAGACTACCTACTCCTGAGACATCTAGCTAAACTATACATGGCACTTTATGAAAAATGTTGTTATATGGCTTTAATCTGTTTTGTTTTAAAACTGTATTGTGTACTGTACTTAGAAGGTTTTGTGCTGTTTTATGATGCCAAATGGCCTTGTTAGCCGTCCTGAGCCTGCTTCGGTGGGTAGGGCGGGGTACACATTAAATAAATAAATAAATAAATAAAATCATATAAATACTGTCGTAAGAGAGAAATTTCCTTCCTTCCTTCCTTCCTTCCTTCCTTCCTTCCTTCCTTCCTTACTTCCTTCTTATCTCACTCCCACGCCCTTAACAGTTTGCAAGTAGAAAAGGCTTCCATAGTTTCTTCCTTCATACCCTTGCAAGTTTGTTACAGTGTAACGCAGGTTACAGTGAAATTCTCATAATCTGTGTCACACTGCCAGGTGCTCACAATGAATGTTATTCATTGGATATGCATTTACCACAAGAAGCCAAGTTCTTTCAGAGTCCAGACTGCAGATAAACACAGACTCTAAATTATTTCATCTACTGAACCATAATTATACCACATATTTTAAAGACAGTGAGACCTAAATTATTCCCATCACAAATTATTGTTTGCTGAACCATACATTGTTTGGTCATTTCATACAAATGCAGATATAGTGGGTGACATCTCACCACTTTGGTGTCTTCTTCTGACACAAAGAGCCTTCTTATGCAAGAAGCAGTGCCTCACAAGAGGCCCTTCTCCTGCATTAGAGAAAAGTGCTGCTGTTAATTGAGTACAGTGGTAGGATCCAACCCAGAATTGTGCAAGATACACAAGATCACAGATGATTGCCTCCAAACCCTTTCCACAGGAAATTGGAAGCATCGCTTAGGACCACTTGGATCTTCAACATTAATTGAGAAGAACAGCAAAAACACACCATGACCAATCTTTTACTAATTAAATGAAGTTGGGAAATATATCTGATGAGGTAACTGATCAACATGAAAAATGTTTGACATTATGTACTCTTGGCATGGTGTGTCTAGCTCTTAATTCTCAGTCTGTTCATGAAGATTTTTATGAAAATCGATTGTAGGATATTACTTCATTTACTGAACATAGTGTATAGTCTAAATTTTGACTCAGTGAGATGTGGCTTGTAGGGTGAGCATGGAGCAGTATAAAAGGAAGACAGAAGGTCTTGTTTTGTTTAACCTTTGGTCTTTTCCCTTCACTTGCAGTAAAATGTCAACAGACTGCCAGTAAACTACAGAATGAGGTGGGGCTAGAGAAGCATTAAAACTAATGGCACATAAAGAAATGAGAAGAACTCTGGTAATGTAACACCATATGATGGATTTCTACAAGAATCTGTAAGAAGCTGGACAGAATCTGAGAACAATTTGCCAAAAAAACCTGGGTTAGCTTTATATTCCATTCATTGGAGACACGTCTTGCAATAGAATTTGGGTGCAATTCTTTTTCCTTTAAACTTCTTTCATATTTTTTACATTCAGAAGTATAGGGTCTATGGTATTTTGTTTTGCATAGCTGACTTTGGAGGGGTCACAGTAAGAGAGGAGGAAGGAGCATTAAAATAGCAGTACATAATTGATTATCCAAATATGATTTAACTGTATGCATGCCTCTTAATCGTACTCTGACCCCCAAATCCCCTGCCAGTGGCCAGAGGCGACCTGGTGACCCTAACTCTACATCTTATTAGTACACTGACACTGCAGTTGTGCTCATGGGACAAGCATAAGATTGCTTACTGAGTGCCTACACCAGTACTCTGCCACTGGGGGCGGGGGAATCATCATCAGCGTAGCAACGCCAACACCAGCAGGATGCCGTCACCACTATCACAAACAGCAAACTTTTACTTATTTAACTATTTATACCCCACCTTTCTCCCCAATAGGGATCCAAAATGGTTTACGTCATTCTCCTCTCATCCATTTTGTCCTCACTACAACCTTGTGAGGTAGGTTAAGCTGAGACAGTGTGACTGGTCCACTATCACCCAGAGAGCTTCCATGGCAGAGTGGGGATTCAAACCTGGGTCTCCCAGATACTAGTCTGGCACTCTTAACCACTACCCCCCCCAATCACACAAAATGGACCAGAAACAGCGAGGAGAGGACTTAGCTGAGATCTTTTCCGGTGAGACCAACCCCATTACTGACATCTTATCCCTGCAAAATAATTGAGGCAACACTAGTGAAACATTTCCATTGAAGTCAACAGATAGTGATGATAGCCTATCTATTTCCTTTTTATCCACCATCACAGCCACAATTTTTATGTCTCTGTCTATGTATTTATAGCCCACCTTTCTGAGACAGGCAATCATTTTGACAGGTGCAGGTCCAGAAGGTTCAGAAGTGTATAAAATGGATTCCATGCAAGCTAGAGACACCAAGCTCATCGGGGATCTCCAGCTGACTCTCCTCTACCTGCTCTCCTAGTTTGATGAGGATTGGATTTGCAGGGTCTGAGTTACGGCCCTCCAAAACAAGGTGCCCCTAGGAAAATGCTTTCTGGGGAAATGACAGTCATTTCCACGGAAAGCACTTTCTTCTAAGGATCACTGGTGGCTCTGCAAATACATGGAGTTTATTTTTTAACGGGTTGTTAAAGGTATTGCATTACTCCTTTCCATCATTACTCATGCTCATTTTTCAAAAACAGAAAAGAATCGTCTGTAGCTCATCTTTCCTTTTAGGGAGAGGAGGGGATTGTTAGAAGTGTCTGCAAATAGGTGATGAGTTTCGTTTTTAAAAAAGATTTTAAAACAGTATCATGTTATTTCTATGCAGTGTTGTGTTACCCATTCTTCTAAAAAAAAAATTAAATGTGGGGCAGAGAATCCTGAGGGTCATGTGAGATCACAGTGTGTGGGTGGGTGGTTCAACGCACATCAAGGTGTGTGAAACAGAAACAACAGCTAAAAATTGAGAGAGAGAAAATGGATTATCCTCTGTTGCAATGGAGATTTCACACAGAATCACACCAGCAACCAGACTACCATGGAAAATCAACCTGGTGTGGAAGCAACCATGGAAATCAATGGGATTAGAAGGGAATAACTTCGTTTACAATTACATTGGATGCCATGTTGTACAGTTAAGGTAATATGATCACAACACTACTCAGTATAAGGGGATGTATTTAAATTATACACTACAAAATTCAGCATATAAATCAAAATTTGGCTAAGAAAGCCATGCTTTGTTTTTTAGATCATACATGTATATTTCATAGTAGGCAGGCAGCATGGTAGAAGAGGCATTGCCTCCTGCCTGTGAAAAAAGATGGCCTGATTAACCAGGGTTGCCAACAATGCTGGAGAAACAAATGGACGCAACAGAAGGCAGGAAAAAAAAGAAAGAAAAAAGCAGGTGCAAGTATTTATTAGAGCTTTATGGATTCCTACGCATTTCACAGTAAAACTTCTTCAGGGGGATCTTCTACATGGTTTTTCAAATTCCACCTTGAGCAATGAAGTCATTTTTCTTTCTAATTCCTGATTAACCAGGGCACATTTGTCAATCAATCAAAAGTTTTAAATTGATTAATTTAATCAATCAATTGATTGATTATACATTGCAGCCCTAATAAATTATAACTCCTCTCGCCAGTGTATATTACTTTCTATATGGAAAATTGGTTTCTTAGATGTTATAATGCTGTCACTACAGGAAACAGAAATTATTTGAAGCAATACTTACGGAATTCCATCCCTGTTTGAAATATGGTGGAGGAAGTAACGGAGGGGGTGGTGGAGGGGGAGGGACAAGGACAGAGCAAACCCGATTGTTATTACTCCGTTTCTTCTGTTCCAAGCAAGGGAGGGCTGTTGGAAAGAAATGCTTCTATTAACTACAGTCTAAGAGTGACTTAATTAAGAGTCTTTCAAAATTGCAGCAGAAGACTCAAGCAATACAGATTTCAGCAGAAACGCGCACACACAAAAGGCCTGGCAAGGATGAAATCACGGACAAGAGGTTTTTGAAAAGAAAACGAAAGGAGAGGGGCAGGGATCAAAGAATTTCCTTGCTTCAAATTTTGTGAATACAGCAATAAGGAAAATCATATAAATTAAGACAGCAACCTGCATTCACATTTGAAGGCTTAACAGAATGTTACTACACTGTTGACTGAAGATTTGATGGACCAAGGCCCAGACTGATTTCTAACTAGGTCAAATATTCTGACTAGGTATAGTTATATCCCTGGCCTGGATGGCCCAAGGTAACCCCATCTTTTGGAAACGCAGGAATTTTAACTAAGTAATAAAATATATACTTTTACTTTATTTATTTATTTACTTTATTTTGCACCATCGGCCTTAGTCTAATTTTTTCCCCACAGAAACATTGCTATCCTGTTACACTGATACCTGTTACTGCTCTGCTGCCATCTATATATTCTACTCTAATTGTAATAATATTATTGAAATGAACACCAAAAGAAGCACAATTACTCTTTTCTCCCTGCTTGTTTTGAGACACTGGGCCCTAGAAAATGAATGACTGAAATCTTGATAAAGGAAACGGCCTGATTCTCAGAGCCAAGGCTGAGTTTGAGGTGCTGACAGTAAGAAAAGTTGTTTCAGACCAGTCCCCTCAGTTTTGCTCTGTGTGAGGCCAGACTGCAGAAGAGCAAAGAACACAGTTTTTCAGTTCAAACAGCTTAAGTCAGAATTTCCTCACACAATCTCTGGAAACTGATTGGCTACTACCCTCGCTATGCATTATGAGGATTGTAGGCTGTCTGCTTTCTACTCTCACACTGGTCTCTCCTGGGACCAGACTGCACTAGGCCTTGCTCCCAGTCCTGCACAGATCATGACAACTTGTCTTGGACAAGTCATATTAATGCCACTAAGAAATTAGCTTCATTGCATTCTTCAACCCTCTTACGATTTTTTTCTGGACCTCAGGAGATAACTATGTACCGGCTGCCATTTGGGCTTTTCAGGCTAAGGTTGTTCCATTATTATAATATGGCATACCACTAGCCATAGCCAAGGTTAATAAGTCTGATTCTCCTTGAGTTTCTTTTTCACATTCAGTGTTAAAATTGCCAGTGTGTGGTTCTGGTCCTGCAATTTGTTTGGAATTTGCTGAACCACCTCTGGAGTCTAAGGCTTGGATAGCAACATTCCTTTTCATATCAAAAACCTTCTAGTTTTCAGAAGGATGTATCAGCTTTTTAATGATGGTTTAAAGTACATGGGCAAAATTAGCTGATGATAAGCTGAAGAAATTGGGTTTTCCTTTTGAGTTTTTTTAACCAAATGGAATATTTGTTGTTGTTCAGTCGCACAGTCGAGTCCAACTCTTCGCGACCCCATGGACCAGCTCCCGCCAGGCCTTCCGGAATATACCTCTCAGCATAAATTGATTAAATCCACTGTGCTACATTTTGATAAATGGAGTACTCGTCGTAGAGCCTGGAGGGTGTGCTCCCTGTATTATTTAAGTCTCCCAGTCCCAAAGATTCTACCTGTTTATCCTAATGGTGCCTAAATATCAAATCCTGTTTTCTAAAGTAAGGTTAAATGTGTTGCTGTTAGAGAAATTATCAGGTAGGCTTGCAGGGATTCCATTTTCTGAAAGGCTTTGTGATTGTAAATCTGGAAAATTAGATACTATTTGGCATTTTTATGGACTGTAATAAATATAATATTGCCCAAGACAAGACAGATGGATTTAAGTTTACATTAAAAAATGGACTCCAGCTCCAGAGCTGGAGATTGTAGCTAAATTGTTAGCTGATGTTGACTCTCATGTGACTCCTGCAGTGGTAAATTTTCATCTATGGCTTTCAATAATGATATTCTATAATGTTAATATGTATTTTGTATCTCTTCTCTATTCACTTATGACCAATAGGCCTCTGAGCATCAGTAAATTGAATGGAAAAATGGAATGTATGCCAGGAAATAGATTGCTTGCAGACAGACAAAGGGTCAGAAAACTGTTTGGTTCAGTGGTACAGAACCTGCTCTGTATGCAGAAGTTCCAGGACCAATGCCTGGCATCTCTGTAGTTCCCTAGATGCCTGCAACCTTCTGCCTGCATGCTCAGGCCCCCTGCTAGAAGCAATGGCAGAGGAAATAGCATCATGTGACACCATGTTGCATGGCACTCTAAAAATTTCCCTGATTTCTATGGTTTTTACGATAGAGATTGGGGGAACTCATAGGAACCCAACACAATGCAGTGATGCACATCCAGATACTCAACCAGAGATGATATCACAGCATCGCACAGTACTCTTTCTTCCAGGCTCAGCCCCCTAAATTCTTCTGGGGACTGCCAAGAGAGGGCTGGCAACTCCACCTTCCTCTGCCCAAGACACTAGTCCTGTGTTAGTCAGAGTGTACAGTGCAGAGTTAAATGGTATAAAGCAGCATCATATATTCATATAGACAGTCCAGCTTCTCCCTTCACTAATTCTATGGGCATGGACATATTATTTTTGTGGTGAACCTTACACAAACATTTAGGAGTACGTGACCAAGAGGAGTACACATTTCCCTTATCATCTGGCTCTTCTTCCTCACCGAAATAACACACACTTTGGGAATTATGTCCAAGAACCTGCCGAACATGCTATAATTGGGCTCTGGAAGAGTACTTTACCTTTACCTAGTTCATATCTGATACCACAAACGAGTAGGGGAACATCTCCCTCTGAGCTTGTAGACTTTATTTCTATTGTTATCCTAACATTCAGCCATTAGCAGGGGAGATGAGAGATGAGAAAGGGAAGGAACAATGTTGATGGACTTTAAAGACCTACCAATGGATATATTTGAGAGCACTGGTTGAGGTAACTTTTCTATATCTCATAATAATTACAGCAACATCATCAAATTACACCAAATAGTCTCACATACACATACGTTGTGTCAAAATCACAGGTCTGGGGTTATTTTCTCATATATACACATTCTGTTTCTTTCTCTCCATCTCAAAAGTGAACTGTGTTTTAGGCATGCAAACCTAGTACATAAGCCCACTTTACAGCCAATATGTAGAGTCTGTGAGTTGGAGAAAAATATAGTTTCTCCTGAAGAAAAATCATAGTGGATCTGAAATGCAAACCAGAATATACCCAGGTCCTTCAAAGGGCCTCGTTTCTTTGAATGGCTGAGTCCAAGCATTTTTGGTCCCCCCCCCCAAGTTCTCAAATATTAAGCAATTCTTAAATTGAAACTCTTAAATCGGATAGTTAGAATAGTCCTCAATTTTCTGAGAATACAGCTGCTTTCCTGTGAACACACTGCAATGTATCCCTGAAGACAGAAGTCAGTTTGAATTTTTCCACCTGTTCCAAATAAGTCGTGCAACCTGTGATCCACTCTGGGGGAGATGCTACATGCTCCAATTAGAATGCAGAAGCATGTCCGACAAAATTCAGTGGGGTCACAAGACAAATGAGTAAGTGCTATTAAAAGAGCTTAGTAGCTGCTCTTCATTCCCTTGGCCATATTCATATATTAGATATCATTGGTATCTTCCAGCTTCCCTAAGCTCAGAATCAATTCCAGAGTTCCTTGACTAGAAACTAGCTTTCCCTATGACTGGGATGCTGCACTGCCCCAGTGGTCCCATTGACCAGGCAGTACCATGGCATCTTTACTCTATAGTAATCCACAACTACACAATTTTACTGTTGTTCTTAGAATTTTAAAATATGGTACACATGGTATTATACACCTGATAAATATACACAAATGTAAATTCCATGTGTTGGAGGTACAAGAAACATACTGGAACTTTTATGTTTTGCTTTAATATGGCACAACTACTGGAAGTGATTCTCAAGCAATGATTGGATACCTAGTTCCAGAGCCACAACCAGAGGTCATTTCGGGGGGGATCGCGGGGGAACACAGTTCCCCCGGGTGAGGTATGGGGGCGGGGCACATGACGAAGCCCTGCCCCCTGCTTCCGGCCGCCCCGTGTCCGGTCCTCATTCAGCCAGGAGGAGGCAGGAGAAAAGGGAGGGTAAGTTGCTTCCTCCCTGCCTCTCCCCACCCCTGCCTGCCTGGGGCCAGGGAGGGCCTTCACGGGGCTTCCTTGCACTCCCGCCGGCTTTGCAGGTCCACAGCCGGGCCCCTAATGGGGCTCGGCAGTGGAGCTGCAAGGCCGGCGGTAGCGGCCGGGACCGTTGGGGGCGGGGTGTGTGGCCTTATGACACATTTCTGGTGATGTCAGGGGGTGTGGCCTTATGACACACTTCCGGTGATGTCAGGGTGTGTGGCATATGCTAATGAGTTATGCTAATCCCCTAGCTCTTTTTCTACGAAATGACCCCTGGCCACAACTATCTGATTTTGTGCCTGAAACAAAAATATAAAATTGCACCCCCTATACTTTCATAGCAGTTAGTTTGATAAAAAAGGGAAGTACAAAGATGACAACAATGACACAACACTTATCTTAGTCATTATGTATTTTATCTGCACCCCTCAGCTTTCTACCTTGTTACAGCTCTGCCTGGTACCACTGAATCCAGTAAGCGTTTTAGGAAGCAATCCTAAAACTTACTGTTCACAAGTAAGTCCCATATTATCCAATGGGGCTTACACCCAGGAAAGTGTCCTCAGCACTGCAGCATTACTAGGCTATTTAAAAGAAGCAACAGAAATATGCAGTTTGTAATTATGATGATCAGAATTTTAATTGCAAGACATTAGAAACAAAGCAAAGTGCCATCTTTTGTTTGGAAAGGGTAAAATTTGGAATGTAATGCTTTTGAGTAGAATAACACCTTACAGGCATTTCTGGGAAACTTGGCTTAACAATAGAGAGGCATTTATGGAGCAATGGCTGCCTT